GAGCAGGAAAGCTGACATTAACCCTAACCCTTTCCCTCCCCCATATCCGAAGGAGGGTCCGGACCCAAAATGTCAGCTTTCCTGCTCCCCTGATGCTGCCTGGCCTGCTGTGTTCCTCCAGCTCCACAATTTGTTATCACTAACTCTAGCATCTGCAGTTCTTGCTATATACCACTGTTTTTCTAACCTTGTTTACCTCCATTGGCAACATCTAGCCTTCCTGGTCAGGTGCTAGTGTAGAGGGAGTTCAGGTTGCTATGGGAACACGTGAGCTTGACCTGTGGGTCATGTTATGAACTTCCATGACTGTCCTCCAGTGGGGCTCAGAGCCAGAACTTCCGTCTCAGAGACAGGGACAATACCCACTGCAGCACAGAGAGTCCACCTCTAGCCCAGTACATCATGAGTAAAGTGCAGGGTTGAGATTGCTCTGATCCAGGCCCAATACAGAGGCTTACTCCCCATGTTGGGAGAGTGCCTGGAGGAAAAAGCCATAGACCCTCGAGTTTTGATCTGGACTGCATGGGAGTAGTTCAAGAAGTCAGCTCACTACCACCTTTTCTCAAATGCAACTCAAAAGTGACAATAAATGCTGGTCCAGCCAGCCATGCCGATATCTCATAAGTGAATAAAACAAATGATCTACACCTCAACTTCCACTTAATCCCTTTATCTCCATATTTCTGACAGAAACAGAGAAACTAGGGGCAGGAGGAGGCCATTCAGCCCTTCAAATCTGCTCCACCATTCGATATGATCATGGCTGATCATCCAACGCAGTCCCTTGTTCCTGCTTACTCCCCCATACCCTCTGATCCCTTTAGCCCGAGGAACTGTATCTAACTCCTTCTTGAAAACATTCAGTGTTTCGGCCTCAACTGCTTTCTGTGGCAGAGAATTCCACAGGCTCACCACTCTTCGGGTGAAGACATTTCTTCTCATCTCAGTCCTAAATGGCCTGCCCTATATTCTGAGACTGTCACTCCCCTGGTTCTGGATTCCCCTGTCATTGGGAATATCCTTCCTGTCTTTACCCTGTCCAGTCCTGTTAGAATTTGAAATTGACAATAATTCTTGAAGGGAAAAATAACCTATCCATTGCAGTAGAGTCTGGCTCCAGATACCTAGTAAGATTAATCCTAAGATCTAAGAGCAGGAGTGGGCCATTCAGCCCCTCGAACCAGCTCTGCCGTTGAATACGATCATGTCTGATCTCATCTCAGCTTCAACTCCACTTTCCTCACTGCTCTCAATAATCCTTTCACCCTTCACTAATTAAAAACCTGTTTATCTCCTCCTTAAATATATTTGGTGTCCCAGCATCCACTGCACTCTGGGCTAATGACTTCCCACAGGTTCATGACCCTTTGAGAGAAGCAATTTCTTCTCATCTCTGTTTTAAATCTGCCGTCCCTCATCCTAAAACTATGACCTCTCATTCCACATCGCCCCACAAGAGCAAACATCCTCTCCTCGTCAATCCCCTTTCGCATCTTATATTAAATTCGTTCGATCTCCTCAATTAGATCTCCTCTCATCTTTTTGAAAGGGTGTACATCGCAAGCAACTCAGTGGTATGTCAAATTACCAAAGGGTTCTTACAGAAGCAAAAATTGCTTGAGAAACTCAGCAGGTCTGGCAGCATCTGTGGAGAGAGAAAAGCAGAGTCAATGTCTCAGATCCAGTGACTATTTTTCAGAATTGATAGCAGCTCAGAAGAGGTAGTATATATGCTGAAGATGGGGTGGAAAGGGGGTGAGAGGCAAGGTATGAGAAGATATGGAGCCCAAAGAGACGGAGAATGACCGTTAGGCAAAGAAAGGGATGGATGGTAGTGTGGCAGGGAGAAAGAAAAGAAGCTAATGGAGACCATGGTAGTAGGAACTGCCGATGCTGGAGAATCTGAGATAACAAGGTGTAGAGCCGGATGAACACAGCAGGCCAAGCAGCATCCGAGGAGCAGGAAAGCTGACGTTTCGGGTCTGGACCCTTCTCTAGGCCCAAAACGTCAGCCTTCCTGCTCCTCTGATGCTGCTTGGCCTGCTGTGTTCATCCAGCTCTACACCTTGTTATCTCTAATGGAGACCATGTTGTGTTCTGTCCCTTGGGGCTCCATCTCCTCCTCTCTACCCCTTGTTTTCAACGTACGTACCACCTTTTCCAAGCTACTGTCAGTTCTGAAGAAGGACTCGAAATGTTAATGCTGCTTTCTGTCTCCACAGATGCTGCCAGACCTGCTGAGTTTCTCCAGCAATTTCCGTTTTTGTTTCAGATCTCCAGAATCCGCACACGTCCTTGTTTTAGAGCGTTATGCCAAACGACTGTGCCAGGTAGCCAATTGGAGATCAGGCAATCAATCCCAAGCATGTCATTGATGCCCACATCCCATGAAAAATGTGGCTTTCTGCCCAACATTAGGCTTGCTGACAATTCCTCACCCAACGAATTGAGTCAGGAGCACCAAGCAGTGTCCAAGCAGTAGACGGAGCCCTTGCAGGAGGTCAGTGGGAAGCCACATCCAGTGATTGATGTTTAACTGGCTTGAAGCTGAATCCCACACAATTTAGAATAATCTGGTTGCCCAGTAAGATGCCAATTCAGAAAAAAAAAATCCAAATTTCACCTGACAAAAAAATAAGAAATATTCTCAGTGTCCATTTGCATTTCCAGCACCCTATATACAACTGTCTACATTATGTCCCTGAGGGAAAATACCAGTATGTACTTGGAAATGAATGTACTGGTCACACTGGAGAATTGTTCTGAAGTATACATTTGGACTAGTACACACCATTTGCAACTTTTATTGTTTTTTTTTTCCCAACTGGTAACTGTACATTTGTTAATGTACCACAAGGAAATCAAGTTCTCAGCCAAGTGAAAAGGATGTGTCACTTTGGAAATACTCTTCCAAATGACCAATTGGTGTGGGTGCCACTGTGATTTGGGTTTTAGTCCATCTTTGGGATGAAAGGATCAGCCATGACCTCATTGAATGGTGGAGCGAACTTAGTGGGCTGAATGGCCTCCTTCTGCTCCTATACCTGATGATCTTGGAACACTGATTGACCAATCATGGCAAGTGTCACTTGGGAGCAATCATGTTTTAAAATGTTGTGTGCTGTATATATGATGACTGCCCAGTTTTCCAGCATGTACAATGCTGGATGTTCTCACTTACCTGCCCTTCCTTTTTATATTATTGATCAGGAGTGAGGAACATATCTTTTTATGGTTAGAGATTCTCCAGGAACTCTCTTACAGTTCTATGACATTATCCCTGCAGGACACAACCCTCTGTCAACTAGGTGCTCGGCCTATCTGTCCTCAGTAAGGATCCTTTCTCATCAGCCTGATCTTTCCATGTTATGACACATCATTGTGGCAGGTGAGACTTGAATCCAGGTCTCTTGGCCTGCAGGTAGGGACACCATCAGTGGTCCACAAGTGCCCACTCGCCTCAGTAAGGGTTACCAAGTCTGAAATGGACATACGCCTGGGGAATGGTCTCACAACCTGCCTCCAACTGCTGCTACTCTCCTGCTATTGGTTGTCCAAGATGATCATCCTCATGGCATCTCGCCTTCCCACAGCCAATTGGAAAGCACCCTAATATTTCATTAGCCAATTGAATGGTTTAAGGTTATGAATCGAATTATCTTCACCCCCCATCTGATGATTTTGTAAGTAATTATACTTTTTTTTTGTAAATTGCCTCCCCATATCCCCCAGTGATTTTGCTCACAGCAATGTCCTGCAGATTTTTAAAATCCTGGTTGATCCTCAGTCTAATGTCTCATCGTTTTGTCTTGAGTGTTTTTTTGTTGTTAAGGCCAAGTAGAAGTAGAAATGCCTCCCACCTGAAGGGGGCGCTACACCTGGGATGATATCTCATTCTTTCCAGTAGCAGGCACCAAATGAGTGATTTGGATGGTGGAGTTGGGGGTCGGAGCTTGAGTTAAGGCTAATTTAAGGACTGTCTTCAGGTTTAGCCTTCAAAGTAACACTATTTGTTACACATTAATACTAAATATTGTTGTCCATGGTAATCCTATATATATATTCTACACCCTAATTGATAACTGTATAAGTAACGACTTAATCTATCTTCTACATGTGTTCATGTCCATGAGCTCTCTGTGTACCTTCCACATTCTAGTGTGTCTTCCAGATTGATCCTTTTAATTTGTCCTAACTCCACCCACACTGTGGTATTTAAACCAAGTGATGTGCAACTTCATGACATCATCGCAAGGTTTCTCTGGGGTCCTAGTGCCCTTGCCCCCAGATGATAGTTGTTGAGGTTCAGATGGTGCCAGGCAAAAACACTCAAATTTAATTGGATGAAAAAGTTTGGATAATGTTTGCTTCACGGCTCTGGAATAAATAGAAATTTTCTTGTGAGAGAAATGGATTCACAGATATCACCACATGGGTTGGGCCTGGGGGTGGTGAATGCTCCAATTTTGAGGTTGATATAACGCAGCCCTAAAAGACAATAAAATCTTTTGGCCCGTTTCTGTATATTTTAAGACACAGAGACATGAGTAAGATGTTTTGGTTTCTTGTCCGCTCTGGCTCTGACCTCTGC